GGTTCTGCTGGAGGTTTCTTCCTGTTTAAAGGGAGTTTTTCTTTCCACTGTTGCCACTGTGCTTGCTCAGAATAGGAGACTGCAACGAAGCCAAGATTCATCTTGTCTGCTGGATTCCTTAGAGAACTTTACTAATTGGCTTTTATGTGAATGTTCCTGTAAAGTGCCCTGAGACAACTGTGTTGTGAGTTGACACTATATAAATAAACTGAATTGAATTGAATTTGCTGCAAAAATGTCATGCACATATTGCAGAACTTTTAAACAGGTAAACAGCAAAAAAAAAAAGTTTCCAGTTTATAACCCAAAATAACTCAGACTCATGTATTTTTAGTCATAGGTGCAAAGTATGAAGAGCCATGTGTGACTCCTGTGTGTCATTGCTTTAAAACACTTCTTAACTATCAGGTTCAGATGAACGAAAACTGAATTTAAATATACAATACTTTATTCAAATTATTCTCTGTTTGTAAAAGAAAATTAATAAAGGCATGGGTGGAAAAGAATACATGTCTTCATAATTTGACTCCCAACTTTAGGAAGTTTCACTGAACACTTGAAACAGTAGAGATCTGGTATAGTCAAGATAATATTGACTTTTTGACAGAACAAATAAAATAATAAAAATCTGAATGTTTTACTTTTTTTTCGTAATATGTGACTCTACTAACGTGTAAACATTTTTACTGGCTCTGATGCTGCTGTAAGTCATGTTAGGAGAAAACTTTACCTGTACAACGTGTCAACAATCAGTTCATTTACTGGTTCATTTACTGGTTCATTTACTGGTTTCTCTTCACTTCTAGTTCAGAGGATTTTTATCAGACTCAGATGTCTAAAGACAAACTGACAAAGTCTATACATACTTATGTTTCATAACATGTCCATTTTATGAGTCATTTATTTATTCTTTGATCATCTTTACTCTCATGTTTATTGGCCTGATCGGTAAAGACTCCAATGATCTTGTGACAGCCCTCGATGATGTGGAGAATACACATGTGGAGCAGTCAGCAGGAACCACCTCAGTGTTGAAAACGATTCAGATGTTTGGTGGAAGGCATCGTTAGCAGCAATAACAGTTGGGTCTGTAGCTTCAAGGCAATACTGATGTTTATCATTCAAACTTTTGTTCACACAGCTCTGTGGAAGCATGTCTCTAAACCCAGTGTCAGTTGTATGGACGGGTCGTTCTGGTGAACATTACAGCTTCGAGGTCTCCGACTTCTCAGAATGAGTATGCAGCTTTAAAGTCAGTCAAATTTGCTAAAATAAAATAAGGATGTTCTGAACATATGATATGTTGCACAACTAAAAGACAAGTCAGATTGGGAAAGATGACTAAAGGCTGAAAGCCAATGCCATCAGCACATCATTTGCAACTTTAATGAGATGTTTCCTGGATAAAGGCAGCACACAAAAAGGCTAAAAGGACAACACTTAAAGTAACTTTGTCATATTTAAAATCCTTGAGTTAAACCTGGGACCTCCCTGAGCAACAGTGTTGCCCTGAGATGTTGATGCTGCTAAGACAGATGTCTGGTCTTGTCTAGAACCACCTGAAAAACCTGAGGAGGGAGTTTTCTTGTGATACACATTTGATATTGCTATTGTTTAAACATTGTTGATCAATGACACGATCAAAGCCCCTGGACTTTCCATTCATTTAGGAGCAGCCAAAACCAATTTTGCTCAAGAATAGTGAAAACTGTTATAAAAGCATCATATTTGACATTGTTGTTCCCAAAATTTCTGAATAATTATACCTGATTGGCCATGTAAAAATCTACAATGATGCCCATTTTTCTAAATCCATCCATCCATCCATCCATCCATCCATTATCTTTACCCACTTCTTCCATTTTGGGTCACGGGCCCATATCCAGCAGTCACTGTGCGAGAGGCGGGGTACACCCTGGACAGGTCTCCAGTCCATCACAGGGACACATAGAGACAAACGAGACAAACAACCATTCACTCTCTCACTCACACCTAGGGACAATTTAGAGTTACCAATCAGCCTAACATGCATGTTTTTGGTCGGTGGGAGGAAACTGGAGTACCTGGAGAAAACCCACGCATGCAGGGAGAGAACATGCAAACTCCATCCAGAGAGGCCCCCGGACCAGGATTTGAATGAGGGACCTGCTCGCTGAGAGGCAGCAGCTCTACCAGTTGCACCACCATGTTGCCTATTTTTCTAAATGGTTGATAAAATCATAGTTAATAGTGGTTTTGCCATATAATTATATGCATGTGTGGATATAATGCGGAGACACAGACACATATCGGACCACTTTTCCATCAATTGCAGCAAACTGTCGGGAAATTAATGGCTTGCTTCCATTCAGATTCACAGTATTTATACTAGCATTTGAATTTAGTTTAAAGTATTCAGTGAACCCCACGACCCGAAAAGGAAGAAGCGGGTAAAGATAATGGATGGATGGATATTCATCAAAAGTTAATTTTAAATGTGATTTTTGTCTCTCCTTTAAAATTTATTTCTGATATTACTATTTGCATTGTACAAATGGAGGCACAGTGGATCAGTTGGTAGAGCTGCTGCCTCATAGTGAGAAGGTCGCCAGATCAAATCCCAGTCCGGGGACGTTTCTGGGTGGAGTTTGCATGTTCTCTCCGTGCTGCGTGGGTTTCCTCCGGTTACTCCAGTTTCCTCCCACAGACCAAAAACATGCATGTTAGACTGATTGGTAACTCTAAATTGTCTCTAGGTGTGAGTGAGAGAGTGAATGGTTGTTTGTCTCTATGTGTCCCTGTGATGGACTGGAGACCTGTCCAGGGTGTCCCCCACTCCTCACACAGTGATAACTGGACATGGGCACCAGTGAATCCCATGACCCGAAATGGAATAAGCAGGTAAAGATAATGGATGGATGGATGGATGGATGGATGGATGGATGGTTTGTTCAGTGGACTGTTTCAAATACTAAAGAGACAGATCAACTTTGAGTCCAACAAGACATAGTCTTAATACCAGTCTTGATTAAATGCAGTCGTTCATTTAGTGTCTGGATTTAGAATTTACAAAAAATTAACTTTTGGAGCAATTTTACTTTGATTAAATATAAACAGATAAAGAAACCTTTTCAACACAGCAATGTTCACCATCTCCTGAAAGTGAGAGCTGAGCTACTGAACTGGATGATTTATGAAACTCTGCATTGCTGTCCTAATTTAAAGAGAAATACTCTTCAAGCTAGCACCTTCAGCATCAGCAAGCTGTGCAGATGAGCATGAGTTTGAGCTGTTTTAGTCAAGTTCATTTTCTGTGAAGATGTTTTGCAGTTGGAGCAGGCACAGACACACAACAGTTTGTTGCTCTTAAAATAACTCCATGAATCAGCTAATGTAGCCACCTTCAAGTGGAAAGAAACCAAACTGGTCTCTTGATAATACATATCTTTTGAGGTTTATTTCAGACATTGCTGTTGTCAAACAGTCTTTTATTGGCTAAATTATTATTTTTTTGTCATCTGCCATGAAATGCATGCAATAAAAAAGCCCAGTTCTCATCTAGTTGCCCGTGCATGTGTGTGGCCATATAGAAGTTGTCTGTGTGACAGCACGGTGCTAAAACCTGAATATTGGGCCAGCCCAGTCGTAACACTAGCGCTCATAAACACTTACAGCTTGTGGCAGAAAAGTGTGACTTTTATCAGCAACGTGTCGAAACATTTACACACCATCGTTACGAGTTCAAACACAGAAGAGCAGGTCAATTATTAACATTACAAAGATGGCACCCACACCATGGTAGGTGTGTATTGGGTCACATGGGCTAATATATTTCCCCTAATAACTGAGAAAACAGGCCAACAAACCAGAATATGAAAATACAGTGGAACGTATAGTCTGAAGCTCAAGGGATGATCAGAAAAATGGTCAAATTTTACAAAACCTCATCCAGTCATAGCATATTTAATATATTTTAAAAAATGAAAACGTATTTCCTTTACTTCTACACTAAAAAACTACACTGCCTCACTTTGAAAAAATAAGTAGCAATTTGCATTGATCTTTAACCCGACAAATGATGATCACAAGACTGTTTTAGTTTGAGCAACCCCATCTGTTTGGTAGAACATGATTTTGATGGACTTATAAAAACTTAAATCAAATGAGTTTTTTTGTTGGAGGAAAATGCTCTAAATGATCCAACAAAGTTCAGTCAGGTCCTCTGGACAGTTTCTTTGTGTTGAAACGTTTCGTCCTTCATCCAAAGGACTTCATCAGTCTGAGGAGCCACATCAAACTCAGTCTCACAAGCAGCACAATCACACAGTGGACCAACCAGTTTGATGTTGATAAGATGGTTTCTGGACCATCTTCGGCCATGGCTGACTCTGAGGAATCGATGGGGGAGAGGGTGGACTCCAGAAGGGAAAGAACATTAGTAATAATATATTCATAACTCCTCTGACAGTCAGTCAGTCAGTCAGTCAGTCAGTCAGTCAGTCAGTCACCACTGGAACAATCAAATTTAGAAATATTTCTGAGAGCCTTAATGAAGATTCCTGTTAGACACATGGAAAACACGACCATGATATTTATTTATATAGTTATTTTTGAACAGTTTACAAAGACTTGCACACATTTTATGAATTTAAACAAAGAACATTTTACTTTGTTACAACAATATTTTAGGATGTCTCATGTGCAGCTTACACAGAGTGGAATTACTCTGAAAACTAACCAGTTACAAAAGATGATAACAAGGTTCAGCTGAAAGTACTGAGAAAATACTGTAAAACGCAGAAACGCTGGGATTCAATACAAGATATTACACTGAAATTGTTTTGTTTGCTAAATGTAGTGGTAGATTAAACACGTTGAAACAAATGAATTGTAAACATTAAGTTGACAAGTTGCAAAAACTAAAACAACCTGAGTGTTATAGAAGTGGAACATCCAGCTTCACCCAGCTAGAAGCCACTGAGCGCAGATGAGGTGTTCTTTGGTTGACATCTTTTCTAATCTACTTTATGAACCCAGTTAGGGTACAGAGGAGGAGCTGTCAAACTCCAGAGAAGCATGCTCCAAACCACCGTATCCATTCATCTTCTTTAACTTCAGCTGGTCAGTGTGGATCAAACCCTGCGTCTCCAGAACTGCCTCCTTCTTGGAGAACATCTGGCTGATCTCCATGAATGTTTTGTTTTTGGTCTCTGGGATTACAATATAAACATAGATAGCCACAGAGAAACAAACTGTGGCAAACACCAAGTAGCAGTACGACCCAGCAGACATCTAATGGTTAGATGCGGCATGTGAGAGAAAGGAAGTTGATAGAAAAGAGACAAAATGATAGAAACACGAGTTAGAAACAGGTTTGTCTAAGACTGACAGCACATTAAGACTCAGTAGAGCTTCCAGAATTTTGTATACAATGTAAATCTGACAAGGTAATCTATGAAACTAAAAAAAAATCTAAACCTAAACTTTCATGAGCTTTCAAGATTTAGTACTAAAGCTCAATTAATAAAAATATATTTTTTGAATGGTACATGAAATAGGATTGGATTCAAACCAAAACCAAGCAGGTGATCAGTTATTGAATCAATCAGCTTTTATCACGTGACGTTTGTTGTTTGAGTCAGAGATGCAGGAAAGTATCCAGCTCTCACCTGTAAGAAGGGGAAGACGAAGCCCACAGTAAAGTTCGACAGCCAGTTGAGTGAGCCACCAATGATGTATGCAGCTGGGCGATGGGATTGTTTGAACAGTTCTGCTGTAATCAGGAAGGGAACCCCCGCTGGAAACAAGAAAAATAATAATATCCTTTAAAACAACAAAGTCCATGCTCAATAATCCAGGTATACAAGCCAACATTTTTCAGTCAGGTCATCTGGACAGTTTCTTTTTTTTTGTGCTGAAACGTTTCGACTTTGATCTGGAAGGCTTCATCAGTCAAGGAAACACACAACAAAACTGATTCTTCCCCCAACAGCTTACTCCAAAGTGGAACAAATCAGTTTTGTTGGTGCTAAGATGGTCTCTTTGGCACGCCCCTTCCTCCATTGCCGGCCCTCTTCCTTGTTGACAGTCGTGTCAAACTGGTTGAAAACAACAAAGTCCATGCTCAATAATCCAATAACACAAAGAGACCATCTTAGCACCAACAAAACTGGTTCGTTCCACTTTGGAGTAAGCTGTTGGGAGAAGAATCAGTTTTGTTGTGTGTTTCCTTGACTGATGAAGCCTTCCAGATCAAAGTCAAAACGTTTCAGCACAAAAAAAAAAGAAACTGTCCAGATGACCTGACTGAAAAATGTTGGATCTTTTAAAACAGTTTTTGTATCCTGACTGCGTTTATGTTGCACGGTGACTCAGTTGGTAGAGCTGTTGCCTCTCAGCGAGCATGTCATCGGTCGAAATCCCGGCCGGGGGCCTTTCTGGGTGGAGTTTGCATGTTCTCTCCATGCATTCGTGGGTTTTCTCTGGGTATTCCGGTTTCATCCCACAGACCAAAAACCTGCATGTTAGACTGATTGGTAACTCTAAATTGTCTCTAGGTGTGAGTGAGAGAGTGAATGCTTGTTTGTCTCGTTTGTCTCTATGTGTTCTTGTGATGGACTGGAGACCTGTCCAGGGTGTACCCAGCCTCTCACACAGTGACAGCGATATAGTGGCACCAATGACCCCCACGATCCAAAAAGGAAGAAGCGGGTAAAGATAATGGATGCTTGGACCACTGAGAGTAAATTTCATCTTAACAGGTGTTTATCAGAAAACGGTGTAACCAAATTCAAACAATCTTTTCCATCAATGTTTTCCTTTGTCTTGCAGAGTAATACATGAGAGCAGTGACTTAGATGATCTTGTTGATGATTTGACAACTTGAATGCAACTTCACTCGACATAACTGCTCCGCTGAAAAAGAAAGTAATCAATCCGAAGAAGTTGGTTCCTTGGTTCAATTCTGAGTTACATACTTTAAGACGTCTAGAAAGCAGGAGAGAAAATGGAGCTCCACTTACATGGAAGAATTTTATTTAATTTGGATAGAGAGTCTGCTAACATATAAGAAAGCTCTCAGTAAAGCTAGAACTTTATATTACTCATCTTTAATTGATGAGAATAAAAATAACCCTAGGTTTATCTTCAGTAGTATTGCTAGACTAATTAAAAGTCCCATCTCTGTTGAACCATGTATTCCTACAACAACAAGCAGCGATGACTTCATGAGATTCTTTATAAATAAAATTATTTTAATTAGAGCGAAAATTCAAACCAACCTTCCTTCTACTATCCCTAGTCCCCTGTCAAATGAGACAACTTAAAAAAATTTCACTAGAGCCTGATTTGTGTTTGGACAGTTTTTGTCCTGTTGAGCTCTCTGAATAGAGAATGGGCAACCATGTGATGGTGCATTGCATTATGGGATTTTGGTTGCCATTTTTACTGATACACAAAATGTAAGCAACAGAACAAGAAACAGAAATGGACAGTCAGAAGAGCAAGTGCAAGGCTCCTTACGTTGAAAAGTTAAACAAGGATGCAAAGAAGTGCTACATAGAGAAAATAAGAGATTAACGGGCTTGATCCATACGAACACCATGCGTGGACAAGTGATTTGAATGAGTTACCACCATTAACATTTCCAGATGTGTTTAGGTACCTTGTTTGTGGAGTGAGCCTACACATTCAGCAGTTCAAGAATTATACATTTCTCAAAGCTCACCTTCAATTTACTAATTGATGGATGTGAGATCTGCTGATTTTCACCGTCAATGACCAGAAAAACGTAGTTCTCACAAAGGTAGGTGAACACCACATACACACACGTCTCTCAACCTAGAGACTAAAAACTACATCACGTTTGGTCATTGCACCTTCAACACATTACTGTTACATGTTGTTTATGGCGACTACTGCTAAACTGTAAGACTATTCTGATTCTGATTGTATTATATTATTGTATTACATTTAGACCACACTGGATAAGGTTTACTTTCAGTGTGGTCTCTAAACAAAACAGTACTGTGACACGTTGTGTCTTGTGATGAGTGTTTGTTAACAAAACCCCCCCTTTTTTTTTTTTTTTATTGTGGGCTGCACGGTGGCGCAACTGGTAGGGCTGCTGCCTCTCAGCGAGCAGGTCCCTGGTTCAAACCCCGGTCCAGGGGCCTTTCTGGGTGGAGTTTGCATGTTCTCTCCGTGCATGCGTGGATTTTCTCCAGCTACTCCGGTTTCCTCCCACAGACCAAAAACATGCATGTTAGGCTGATTGGTAACTCTAAATTGTCCCTAGGTGTGAGTGAGAAAGTGAATGGTTGTTTGTCTCATTTGTCTCTATGTGGCCCTGTGATGGACTTGCAACCTGTCCAGGGTGTACCCCGCCCCTCGCACAGTGATTGCTGGACATGGGCACCGGCGACCCCCGTGACCCAAAATGGAATAAGCGGGTAAAGATAATGGATGGATGGTTGGATGGATGGATGTATCAAATGCAGCACTGAGGTCTAACAGGACCAGTATAGACACAAGTCCATTGTATGAGGCCATGAGAATATCATTAGTGACTTTTACTAGTGCTGTTTTTGTGCTATGATAAGCTCTAAACCCTGACTGAAACTCTCCAAACAGATTATTTCTTTGTAGATGTTCACACAACTGACCTGCAACTATTTTCTCTAGAATTTTTGAGATGAAAGTTAGATTAGATATAGGTCTATAGTTGGCCAGATTTTCTGAAATCAAGGTCAGATTTCTTAAGTAAAGGTTTAATTACAGGCAACCTTAAAGAACTGTGGTACATAACTATCCATTAAAGACAAATTAAGTAGATCCAAAATGTGAACATTCATTCAGCTCCTGTCACTCTGTACCACGCCCCCTCCATCATCTACCGCAATCTACGTTCATGAGCAACACCTGTTCAGTTCACCATTTAAGCTCCCTGTTTCTCCTCAGTCAGTGCCAGATAATTATAGGTTCTTCCCGTAGATATCCAGCGTTGGGTTTTAACATCAAAGCGTTCAGGCTTCAGTGAAGCGGCAGGAGGAAACTCAGGACTCAGGTGGGCTGTAGCAGGTTGTTTGGATATTACAGAAGGTAGGAGCTGGACACAGTTGGCGGATTTGCATAAACTGAGCTCTGAATGCAACATTATGGCTTCCTCATCAGGAGGAAATAGTGGAGATGAAATGGAGTGGATGATGGCAAATACAGCAAAAATGAAAAGAATTCAAAGGAAAAGACAAGAAAGAGATAGGAGCTGGTCACTAGAAAGCGACTCAAGAATAGAAATCAGCAAAAAGTCAAAATCTAATCCCAGTCCAAGCAATCAAACACAGGTGAAATCAATCAGAGAAGAGGAACTGAAAGCAATCGTAGAATTTAAACAAGAAGGAAAATGTTTTCATTCGATTAAACTAACTAAAGGCATAGGGGAAAAAATAGGAGAAATCAAGTTAGCCAGATTAATAAACAATAGAAAAGTTCTCATTCACGCAATAAATAAAAAACAGCAGGAGAAAATATTGAAAATGACAACACTGATGGGAGAAGAAATTAAAACATACATACCAGGTTCTAATATTAAACTAAAAGGGGTGATTTCAAGAGTTCCAGTAGAAATGACTGTAGAGGACATTAAACAAGAAATCAAAGGAGGAAAAGTAACAGGCGCAACAAGGATTAAAACCAAGAAAGATGGAATCATCAAAGAAACTATGTCGATTATACTACAGTTTGAAAACTCGGTACCGGAATATGTGCAGCTGGGTTATGTAAATTTCAGGGTAAGAGAATACATTCCCAATCCAATAAGGTGCTATATATGCCAAAGAATGGGGCATGCTGCAAAAGAATGTAAAGGAAAAATAAGGTGTGCAAGATGTGGAGGTCCACATGAGTATGGTAAATGTGAAAAAGATTCGAAGGTTAATTGCTGTAATTGTGGAGGAGAGCACAGTGCTGCATATGTGGGATGTATAGTTCAGAGAGAAGCAAGAGAAGCACAACGAATTAAAATAACTGAAAAAATAACATACGCAGAAGCACTGAAGAGGGTAAGAAAAGTAGAAACGAAAGAAACGAGAAATGTTGAAATAGATCAGAGATACTCGGAAAAAAGTGCTAATAACCAACAGAGCACATCACCATTACAACCAATAGAACAACACAATGTTTGCTCTCACAAATGTACAGTAGATGACAAATCAATGATTGTAGAAAAAGAAAAGTTTGTGGCATTCATATGTCATATTATCAACGTAACTATCCAAATGAAAAAGAAAAGTGATAAAATAAAGACAGTAGTAGCAACAGCAGGAAAATCTTTGGACATGAAAGAATTACAAGCAGATCAGATTCATTCTCTGTTAAATTCAGTTGAATCATCAGGAAACAGCCAAGGAAAGGAATAGGATGGTCTTTCATATTCTACAATGGAATGCTAGGAGTATTATTGCTAATGGACAAGAACTTAAAAAATTGATATATGAATTAAAAGTAGCTCCAGACATAATATGTATACAGGAAACATGGTTAAAACCCATTTTAGAATTTAAAATTCAGGGCTACGATTCGGTAAGGAAAGACAGAACTGTCGGGAATAGAGGAGGATGGTGTGCTACTTTTATTAAAAAAGGAATAGCATATAAGGAATTTGCCAACAACTCAGAATATGAATGTGTGATTATAGAAATTTACAATCTAAAAAGTATTGGTCATCTTAGAGTAATAAATTATTACAACCCATGTAAAACAATAGAAAAGGATATGTTTAAAGAATTAACTGGAAATATACTCGGGAAAGAAATATGGTGTGGAGACTTTAACGCATAGAATAGCCTGTGGGGTAGTAGCACAACAGATTATAATGGCAATATAAT